TTAAGGGAGTTTAAGTGATTTGCCATACTCTTTATTTCCCAGAGTGAGAAGCTATCTGTTTTGTCACGTTGAGACCCAGAATGAAGGCAACTTAGAACACAAATTAATGAACTTTTTGTGTAAAGGGCCACAGAATATTTTAGGCCTGTGAGACATACATTCTCTGTCCAACTACTCAACTCTGCCATTGTAGAACAAAAGTAGCAATAGCTAATATGTAAATAATTGGACAAGGCTGTATTCTAATAAAACTTTATTTACAGAAACAGGCAGCTAGATGGATTTTGTCCATGGGCCATAGTTTGCCAACTCCTGACCTAGCCAAACGGCAATAGACAAGTTGTATGAGACAATCAGATTTTGCAGTTGTTACCCAATGACAACCTAGACTATTCTGACACTGAAAATGTTTCCCCATTTAAAAAAAAAAACAAAAACCCTAAAATACTAAACATTGGCCTAATGGTTAGTTGGCAGGCATTCAGAAAATTGCCATTGGAGGATGGAAGCAATGACTTAGGGAAATCTGTACTATGAAGAAGTGAAATTACTCCTTGAGATAACCCAAAAGGCAGATAATCTACCCTTTACTAAAGAAAAAGACAGAAAAACAAAATATTTTATAGTTGCTGTTGACTGCACTTGACAAAATGTACAGAAAAGAGATGTACTCAGAAAATAACTGGTCAGTTTGCAGGCAGAAGTGAAAGGAAAGAGAGAATTCACAAATTCAAGTACTAACTGGGTAGATTGAGGCAACTTTTCCATGACAAAAATTAAGACAAAAATGAGAAATCTCTGAGCCCAAAGGTTGGTTAAAACCCAGTTTTGCAGCAAGGATCATAAAGCCCTACTGTTCAGTACTCTGAATGAGTTAATGTGCCTCAGACTAAAAGTCCAACAAAAATTACAACACTAATTAATCCCTTAATTGGACAAAATGGCTTAAGGAAAAAGTGACTAAGGATATGGCTCTCCCACTTAAGCCTGAAAGGCCTCAGGTACCCAAAAATTAAGTTCAGAGATGCATGGGAACAAGAAGACAAAGAAATATAGCAAATCTAAAAAGTACAAATTAACTAGATGTCACTTTTGGGTCATCTCCCATGTGGAGGTGATGAGGACATACTGCAGGTATGAAAGCAAATGAACTGAATATCTTGTGCCCTGAAGGGCTCAATCTTTCTCTTTTTAAATTTACTTACTTTTAAATCCCAGAGGAGCCAAAAATCATCTGTAAAGGAAAGTAGCAAGTAAATAGATGCCATTTTCTCCTAGGGTTAATGCCTACGAAAGGAAAAATGATTATTAACTCTTAAATAGCATTATCTTTTCCCAATACTGAATGTAACTCTTTAATTAATGAAATATTGTCTTAGGTCACTAAACAGTCATCCAATCTTTTCCCTCTATATGTAGGTTCCTTTGGAAATTAAAAAAAAAAAAAAGACTCTTTTTGCTCACAAAGGGCAGGAAAAAAATTAAGACTCCGTATCATGAATACACAAACTTAATATTACATAGTGGACTTACGTGAGTACAACTGGGTTTAAATCCTGACTTTATTACTTACTATGTTTACTAGGGAAAATTGCAATTTCAGTTTCTTTCCATAATAACATTCACATAATAAATATCTGAACCACATGCCAAGCCAAGTACTGCACTAAATTCTGGGAATACAACAATGAAGTCCCTAGTCGCAAAGAACTTAGCTTCATTTCTTAATTTGTAATATGTGGACAAAAATTACCTAGTGAACAGTCTAAGGCAGGATGACTGTCAAGGTTGAATGAGACTGTGAAAGAGCTTCAAAGATTGTAAAACACTACACAAATATTCATTTATCCAAACATTTATTGAAATGCCAGGCATTGTGCTAAGCACTAGAGATAGGACAGCGAACAAAGCTTATATGGTCCCTGCCCTTATAAAGCTTACAGTCTAGCAGTGATCAATAAGCAGTAAGTAACAATAAAGTGTGCTAAGTGTAGGGGGAAGAACGGGGTGTTTAGGGAGTGTATAGTAAGGGCACCTAGTCTAGAGGGCATCAATGACGGCTTCCTAGACGAAATGGCATACAAACAGACACCTAAAAGATGAAGAAAAATTTATATTGTATCCTAAGAGCAAAGGTGAAAGCAGTGGAGTGATATGATCACATAAGTCTTTTGGAACAATACAGTTGCAGTGTGGAAAGGGAGAAATCAGAGAAAGGGAGACTAATGAGGAGGCTGTTGCTATAATTTAAGTTGATGACCTGATTAGGATAGTACTAGCACTGAAGAATTGGGAAGTCATGAACTCAGTTTTTGGCTTGAGCAAGGGCAACTGAACGATTGGTGGTGGTAGTGCCATTTACTGGAAGAGGGAACATTAGAGGAGGAGCAGGGTTGGGGGCAAGATCAACAACATGTAGTACCTGTGAGACAGCAAAGTGGATTTATGTTAGCAATTAGATATATGAATTAGGAAAGGTCTAGAAAGGGGATGAATTTGGAAGTCATTTGCATACAGGTGGTAACTGAAGCCATGGAAGGAGATGAGATCAGCTAGGGTGATGATGTAGACTAACATAACCCAAAACAAAATTTTTTAAAAATTCTCAGAACAGATTATTTACGGAAAGAGGTGCCTGCAAACAAGACTGAGAAAGCATACCTGGAAATGGTATCTCCTCAAAATTAAAGTAATCTCAGGTATTAAAAGGAAGGTAAGAATATTGACAAAGACTTAGCAAGCTTGGTAGAGCAGTTTGAGTGGCAATATTGGAGACTGGGAATACAACTCTTTCAAGAAAACTAGTAAGAATGAGATACAGGGCAGTAACTGGTAAGGACATAAAGAGTTTTTAAAAAAACAATGCTTATTTTAACTATATTCACTGATACAACAGGACCAGTAACAACTATAATATTTATAAAAAAAGAAAGACTGCCATGCAGCTACAGAATTACTTAATACAGAAAACAGTAAAATACACTTTTTTTTTTTTTTTTTTTTACAAACAAGACTAGTTACAGCAAATTCTCTATAGTTGAGGGTCAATTTAAAATACTTGGCTTATATCTGCCCCCTAATCAGTGACCATATGATGCAAACTAATTTTATTATCACCTTAAGCAAAACATACTGGAACTTCACAAAATGTACAAGATTTCAATATATGAGGAACTGGGGTTAGAAAGTAGAAGTGGCTTTCAGGTCTCCCAATCTTTGTCTCAAGTAATAAAGCATCTGCCAGGAAAGAGAATACTCAAAGCTACTGGGAAATTACCGGTAGGTTTTGGGTTTTTTTTGTTGTTGTTGTTGTTATCCACTATCTTGTTTTTCCAGATATTTAAGTTTACACTATTAACCAAAATCTCAACTTCACTATTCTTGACAAGTATCTTGTCAATATACAACACTTGTTTTTCTGCCCTAATTATGTGTAACAGGATAGAGCCCTTTAATCTGATTCAAAACTAATTACTGATTTATAAGTGCGATTGTGAGCTACTAGAACTTATCAATGCCTTTGTCATACCTTACCAATCAAACTTGGAATGTTGGAGTTAGTCTCCCCTATCAAATATCCTGTCAGTTTGCCCAAGGTGCCCTTCTAATTTTGCTTCTACCGGTAATTTGCCCTGTCCCTCAAAATAAAATAATCTACATCTTGGGAGCAATAATTCTTCGTTGTGCCAGCCTGTCTTATGCACTGTAGGAAGTAGGGGTCTTCAGGTTTAAATGTCCACAGAAGCCCCTACTAAACATGACAACCAAAAAAGTGCCCCTATACATTTCTCAGCATCCTCTCTGGAAGGAGGGGTTACTGCCCCTGGTTGAAAACCACTGACAGAACTTTGGTTCTTAGGCTCTTATGTCATCTATTTTGATTGCCCAGGCACCAGTTCCTTGTAAATTCTTGGTTGTATCCGAGTTCCTTGAATCTGTTATTTAGTGAGCATAGAATAATGTGCTGCAATACTTAAGACAGGACTTTAGCACAAGAGTTTCAAAATGTACTTGAGAGGATCTATAAATGTAAGTTGGGTCCTTTTTATAATTAGTTTTACATATCTGACTTTACTGTACAAATGCCTTTTCATAGTTAACGTAAGTTTGAAAATTACTGTTTTGGCACAAAGCATATGTCTTACTAGATATGGAATTACTACAATCTATGAATAAGGCTACTTCTTAAATATTTCTACTTGTACACTGTCTTAAATGCAGAATGTGTGGGACAGTTACAAATTCTAGATTAAATTCATTTTCAACATCTAACAAAATCTGATACTATAACACTTTTAAAACAAAGTATTTCCTTTAAGCAAGATTTTTTAACAAAGCAGTAACACCCATGCACACAGGACAAAAAAAGCAAACATATCTCACACTTGCCAATCCTGGAGTACAAAAATCTTTTTTCCTCCCTGTTTTTAACAGGACCAAACTTCTGTCTAGAGTAGAAAAAAAGAATTCCTAACTAGTAACCATTAAGATTCTCTACTTACCATAGTCCTTTACTAGGCAAGCTGATAAAACAGCTCCTAGCTGTAAAAAAAAATTCAGGGGAAACCCCTCCAAATTGATGTTATCTCCAAATTGCAGGAAGTCTCCTAAATCAGCAACTTAAAAAGGATCCTTGCTCCTGTGACTAAAATTTTATTTGAGTACTTCCTCTATTAGCAATATCACTACCATTGGGATGGGTGAAGGGGGGGTGAGAGGGAGGAAATCTGTCAATATTTACTTCAGACTCAGAAATATGTTTAAAAAAAAGTCTCAAACATTTTGATAGTTAAGACAAAATACCTTCACTGTATGTTATTTTCTTCCTTTCTGGAAATTTATGAACTTGCTATGTAAGTTTCTGCAAACTGGTTCAAACACACATTTGAGTCGATAATTTAAGACTGTATGTATCAGAATTTTAACACTTCATTAAAATGAGCACTAAAATTTTTGGCATATTATCTTCAGAACACCTTAAAAACAGACTGCAACTTCAACTGACATTACCAATACTAAAACCTCTTTAAAATCAATTATATCATAAAAGTAAAAGACAATGACTTTGTCATTAAACTAAATTCAAAAGGTGGCATTCTCATGTTTCACTCCCATGCTGCCATTTGAGATGAAAAAAAAAGGCAACTGTCAGAAGGATTTGAATTGTGATCAATTTGGACAGCTGGTAATAAACTTGCTTTCTCACAATCCAAATTAGTAAAGTTGAAAAATCAAACCAATTTTTGCTTTTAGAACTGAATTCCTATTGAGTTTTTCAATATTGCACTACAAAGGCTTATGGATTAGATTAATTTCTTTCTCTCACAAGATCATCCCAACCAGGCTCCATTTCAGTTGTGGCAACCCGAAACAGGGCTTGAAGATGCTCATCTGTCCATGGCTGGCTCAAAGTGTGTTGGTTTCGAGTCAAATACGAAAAAGCCTTTTCGCAGATTTGGTTGCTATCAAACAAGGATGCCACCTTACAGGCAACCCCTTTGATAATTGGGTAAGATTCGGCAGACAGCCCAGCATAGAACTGCCCCAAGTCTTTAACTCTGTATTCATTCCAAAGATTAGTGTTTGCCTGAAGTTTTGTTAGCTCTACCCTTACTGAAATCGGTGCATATTCAGGTTTAAAGTTAAATGGATTTGCAAAAAGTTCTAAGTCCTTTTTAATGAACCTGAGGTCCTTAAAATGTCTCTCAAATTCTTTTTGCAGACGACAGATCACCATTTGATACCTATCAGGATCAAATATTTTTTGATCTTCCTCATTTTGCTGTTTAAGCTCATCAACAACTTCTCCGAGGGCAGGAAAGTCTGCTAGATTTTTTTCCTCAATATGTCTCTGAAAAGAATTCAGCTTAACTTCAAAAGTACAAATATGGTCAAAGGCGGCAGCAGCAAAAACTTTACTAATTCGCAATTGTTTGCTGAGCCCTCGAAGGTGGTCCATAATATCCACCAAGAAGCCAAAGTCACAAAGCCACTGCTTGTCTGAGAAATGGACTGTTGTTGCCCCTACTGAAACCAAGAACGCTTCCAATTGTTTTCTTAGAGAAAATATTCTTTTTAAAGTTCTCCCTCTTCTAAGCCAATTGTTCAGACATCGTCCATTAATCCTGTTGCTATGCTCTGCTTCAGACTCAGCTAGTAAAGCCTGAAATTCGGGTCGCCTAACGCCTCTGGTCTTAATCAAAACTATCCATTCGGATATGGTATTTATGATCTGATTAATATCTACATCGTAGGAGCTCAACAGTTCCAAATGAAGAAATCCTGAATAATGGATAACATTCCAACTGTTGGGACTTACAGCCTTTTCTCTCATGTATGAGACCAGTCCTGAGTTCTCACCAATCATCCTCAAAGTGTGGGTCGTGGTTAGTCCAACCATTCGCTGCAAGCTAAGCCCTGCTGTTTGCAGGGCGTCTAAGATTGCCGACATGAGCGCACCAACACTGAAGTGATGAGTCAGGTTGATCATGGTCAGAAGATCTTCTTGCACCTCCAACTCAGGGCTCACACCGCGGATGAAGACCAAGAGGTAGTTCTCATACGCCACAAAAGCTTGGTCGTCCAAGGCAAGAGAATAGGCTTTAAAGTCCCTGGCTCGGGTAAAAAGCTGATTGCGTAGATTCCTGTCAATGCTCAGGATCCTCCGTCTCGTGACCGCTGGAGATAAATCAATGCCTTGCAGGACGCCTACATGCTCGGGCAGTACCTCTCTTAGCAGTGCCTCCAAGCACTGGTATACAAAGTTCCCCTCACCCCAGCCGCGACCCTTCAAGGCCAAGAGGCGGCAGAGCCCGAGACCTGCGCGAGCAGCTCTCTCCTCGGGAGTGAGAGAGGGCACGGGCACGTCGCCCTGACGCAGACGTTCCACCAGGGCCGCGCGCTCGCCCTCCGCCACATACCGCTCGTAGTATTCGTGCTCAGCCTCGTAGTGGCGCCTGACGTCGCGTTCGCGGGTAGCTACGATGAGGCGGTTACAGACCAGGCACAGGGCCCCGTCGCCCTCCGGAGGCTTCACCATCAAGTAACGCTCGGTCCACTCAGGCCGGAAAACTCCAGCCTCGTCGACTTCCATCTTGCTCCTTTTGGGCGTCATCCACATTCTGCAGGAGGCCGCAAGAGCAGGGCCAACCTCAGGCCGCAAGGAGAAAGGAGGAGCCAGAGCAGAGCCAAGCACCCCCTCAGCTCTGCGCCAGATCACCTCAGCAGAGGGACACCAGCCCCTGCTACAGCATCCCTGCTCCTATTGGATGGATATTTCGTATTCCCCCTAGCTCCTACGAACGAACCAATAGAAAGAGCAGACAGCGATCTCTAATGCGCAAGCGCGTATCCTTCTAGCTAGTGGGAAGAGGGCGCTTTAGGGAGGGACGAAGAGACCCAGGAACCCACGGAGTTGGGAAACTTGACTGGCATTCAAGCTGCCCAATCAATAGTTGCCACTGAAGAGTTGGGCAGGACGGTTGAAGGAAGTACGTGGGCGCGAGGCACTGAAGTGATTGGTTGAAGGCACTTCCGGTGAGCCTCTGGACTTGACCCGGGTTCCTCTGGCGCCAAAATGTCGCTCGTGGCAGGGGTTATCCGGCGGCTGGACGAGACAGTGGTGAACCGTATCGCGGCGGGGGAAGTTATCCAGCGGCCCGCCAATGCCATCAAAGAGATGATTGAGAACTGGTACGGAGTCGAGCTGAGCTCCCTTAAAGATTACGATTTAATGGGCAGCGCCTGTGACTGGTGTGAGCACGCCTCCCTTACTCTCGGCGGAGGCGTTTAAAGCGCATGCCCACAACCACGGAGGCCGCGGAGTCCCTGGGCTCGCGCCAGTTTGGCTTTATTCCTTCCTGCGTACTGCGTGCTTCTTGACCGCTCTCGCGAGACTTTCTGGGGTGGTTTGGGGCTCAAGCAGAATGGTATGCTTAGTATTGTTTCAATGGTACTGTTAACTAAGGAAGTTAGTTAATTTAAAATTATATATGCAGAAGATGCAAGAATAAAGATGCGTAAAGGTTTATGATGAGGGGAAAAAAATCTTCTGTGTTATCAGTTTCTTGCTTATTCATTCCAGAAACCATTCATACACATTCAAGGGCAAAATTCATTTTAAGTCGTCAGAGTTTTAGGACAGGCTGATGGGCTTTGGACTTGTATTTCCCCTGTTGTTAAATTACTGACTTGACCTAGTGTTTTGCTGCTCTTTACTTTTGGCGGGGGGACATTGTTGCGAGGATACCTGATTTTATGGGTCATCCATGGATTCTGAAGCTTAGAACTGTCACAAATAATGTGGACGGAAGAGGTTAAATACATGTGGAAAGAAATGGGTGTGGACTGTAAACTTGAAAAAAAAACCACCGGTGCCCATATGTACCTAAACGTTATGTTAGATCCTTTGTGTTAAAATCAATTGATGTTAGTGAATTTCGTATATTGTAGAACAAAGAATGCTCCAGTGAAGAATGGTAGGTTTGTAGAGAGATTTATTGTGAACACATAAACTATTTAGGGCAATGGGACTGAAAGAACAGCGGCAGAAAAGACCACTAGGGAAAAGGAAGAGTACATAGACAAAAGGAGCAGAGAACCTGGGGACATTTTCTCCTTTTGCCTTGGAATGGTAGTAGCAGTAATAGTAGGCTGGCTTTCGTTTCTGCTGTGTTAACTACGTTAGAATGAACTGAAAGAATAACTTGGGCCGATTATTGTCCTGTGCCAGAGTACTGTAAAACTAAATATGCTAGCTCAGTAACTTAGATTTTGTATGGAGTCCGGTTATGCTCTTTTTAATATATAAGTCAAGATGGCTAATACACGATTCAATACAGGGGCTCCTGAGAAAGGTCTTTAATATTTAAGTGATTTATTGTGATGACTACTCTTTCTCATGTAGCCCCTACTAGAGAATTTGTTTCCTCTAGCAGGTGCTCTATGCTTGCAGGTCACTCTTTGAAAGCACACAAGATTTATTGGTTTCTTAAAGAACTTTATGCATTGCTGTTTTTTTTTTATTTGCTCCCTCATAAATATATTTCCTTAAAGAAAGGGGTATAATAGAGAAAAACATTTTAGAATTTTTATTTTTTTAATGACATTTTAATAGAATCACTTAGGAATCTGAGGTTGAATAAAGTTGAAGCAACAGAGAAAAGGGTAAGAAAGAGGCATGTGCTAAAAGAATCCTACTTTTAACTTCATTTACTATCTTTCCTAGAGCAACAGGAATAATGCTGAATGTCCTATTGGGAGTGATAGTTGTTCTGTCCCTCTCTTCCCTCTCCTTCACACAATACGTAAACTCATACAATGTAGTCACTGAGCCTATAAGACAAAGGAAAAACACATTAATGAAGCACTCATATTTATTTGGATTTTGTTATTATTACTTGGCTCATATTAAAATATGTGCATTAGAGAGTAGTTGCAGACTGATAAATTATTTTCTCTGTTTGATTTGCCAGTTTAGATGCAAAATCCACAAGTATTCAAGTGGTTGTTAAAGAGGGAGGCCTGAAGTTGATTCAGATCCAAGATAATGGCACTGGGATCAGGGTAAGTAAAAACCTCAGAGGAGCAGAATGTTTGTGTGCTTTGTGTGGTGCCTCTGCAGACAGGACCTTTCCCTGTTCCAGAAGCTCTAGGCTTTTGCAGATGGGATTTTTTGACTGAAAAATTCAACACTGACAATAAATATTTATTGAGCACCTATTCTTTGCTGGGCACTGTTCAGGGGATATGGCATTGAATAAAATAGACAAAAAATCCTTTCTCTTCTGGTGCTTACATTATAGTGATAGGAGACAAACAATAAATAGGTACAATAAATAGTATGTCAAACAGCATTAAGTGCTATGCAGAAAACTAAAGCAGGGAGGAGGATAGGAGTGGGAGTGTGGGGAGGGACACAATTTAAATTGAGTCATTCAGGAAGGCTTCAATATGGATGTGATATTTGAGGAGAGATCTAATGGAGGTCAAGGAACAAGTAATGAGGCTGTTTAAAGGATAAGTGTTCTGGGCAGAGAGAACAGTAAATGCAAAGATCATGAAATGGTATGCCTGACATGTTTACTAATTAAAGAATAACTTCCATTCTCCTCCCTCCTCCCAGGCCCTGGCAGCCACCATTCTACTTTCTGTCTCTATGAATTTGACTACTCTAGGAACCTCATGTAAGAGGAATCATACAATGTTTGTGCTTTTATGACTGACTTATTTCACTTAACATAATGTCTTCACGGTTCATCCATATTGTAGAATGTGTCAAATTTTCATTCCTACTTAAGGCTGGGTATTATTTCATTTTGTTTATCCATTCATCTGTTGATGGACATGACCAACTTCCAGATGGAAGTATGCTGACATGACCAGCAAGGAGGCCCATGTGCCTAGAGAGTGAGGAGGGAAGAGTAACAGATACTGTCTGAGGGAGAACATATAGGTCCTTCTGGGCCGTGGTAAAATCTTTTTAGCTTTTATCATGAATGTGGTAGGTTATTAGAGGTTTTTAAGCAAAGAGATTACATGGTGTGGTGAGTCTTATTTTTTAAAAAATCCTTTGTCTACTATATGGAAAATAGACTGCAGAAGAACAGGGCAGAAACATTGAGGAGGCTCTTACAGCAGTCCAAGAGTGGGGTGGTGACAGTGCCTTGGACCAGTTTGGTCGCAGTGGAGGTGTAAGAATCAGTGAGATTCTGGGTTGCTTATGAAGGCAAAGCTCTCAGAATTTGCTGATGTAGGGTGTGAGAGAAAGAGGAGTCAAGAATGATTTCAAGGTTTTGGCCTATGTAAATGGCAAAAAGAGTTGCCATTTACCAAGGTAGGAAAGCCTATGGAGAGGGAGGTTTGGGGGAAGATCAGAAGTTCATTTTGGGGCATATTAAGTTTAAGTCATGTATTAGTTGAATGTGTGTGTGAGTCTGGAGTGCAGGGGAGAGGTTTCCATTATGATGGTATTGAAAGCCTTGACACTCACATGAGGAAATACTCAACATTGTTAGTCATTGGGTAAATCAAATAAAAACCACAAAGATACCAATTCATACCCATTAGGATGACTATTATTAAAAAAACTAATGTGTTGATGAGAATGTAGTGAAATTGGAATTCTTGTGCATTGCTGGTGGGAATGTAAAATAATATAGCTACTGTGGAAAATGGTGTGGTGATTCCTCAAAAAATTAAACACAATTTCTATATGGTCCAGCAATTTCACTTCTGGATATATACCCAAAAGAAATGAAAGTAGGGACTCAAACAGATTTTTGTACTCTCATATTCATAGCAGCATTATTTACAATAGCTGAAAGGTGAAAGCAACCCAAGTGTCCTTCAGCAGATGAATGGATAAACAAAATGAAAAAATACTCAGCCTTAAGTAGGAATGAAAATTTGACACATTCTACAATGTGAATGAACCTTGAAGACATTATGTTAAGTGAAATAAGTCAGTCATAAAAGGACAAATATTGTATGATTCCTCTTACATGAGGTTCCTAGAGTAGTCAAATTCATAGAGACAGAAAGTAGAATGGTGGTTGCCAGGGCTAGGAAGGAAGGAGGAGAATGGAAGTCATTCTTTAATGGGTAAAGAGTTTTAGTTTTGGGGAGAAGATGAAAAAGTTCTGGAGATGGATGGTGGTGATAGATGCATAGCAGTGTGAATGTACTTAATGCCATAGAACTGTACACTTAAAAATGGTTAAGATGGAAAAGTTTGTTATATATTTTTTACTACTATTTTAAAAATTATCTGTAGATTTTTAATAAAGAAGTTTTCTATTTAAAAAAAAAAGCCATGAGACTGAATGAGATCATCAAGAGAGTGAGTGTAGATAGAGAAGAGGTCCAATGATGGAGTACTAGGTGACTCCAGTATCAGGTGGTAGGGACATGAGATGGGGACAGCAAATGACACTAAGAAGGAGCAACCTAATCAGAAAGGATGACGAGAGGATAATATGGTATTCTGAATGCCAAGTGAGGAAGTTACTGCTAATTTAAAAAATCCAAAAAGATTTGGAAAAATGAGTAACATGATTATTTACTCATTTTTTTTTTTTTTTTATCTAATAGAAAGAAGATCTGGATATTGTGTGTGAGAGGTTCACAACAAGTAAACTGCAATCCTTTGAGGATTTATCCAGTATTTCTACCTATGGCTTTCGGGGTGAGGTAAGCTAAGGATTAAACAAATGTGAAATATCATCTTGCGATGAGGCTGCCATTTGTCAGTATGTATTTCTCAACATAGGTAA